TTTTTTTTTTTTTTTTTTTTCTTGGTACCAGGGATTGAACTCACAACCTTGAGCTTTTGAGGCAGGTGCAGTGCCACTGAGCTAAATCCCTGGTCCCCCCAGTCAGTATTTTTAAGTTTAGTGAGATCAATGGTCATAAGCATGGTGGAAGAGAAGGTGACTTCATTTCTTTCTTTACATCACTTCCTACATCAGCTCACTTCTTCAGTGCATTCCTCAAATGTTATGCAACCCCATGCTTTCAGTGAATGTGCTTCTCTTCGTGTTATGGGAAATTAGGAAAGAAAGGTTGTGAAAGAATGTGACTGGAGAGTGTAATGAGAGAAAAGAACCAAGGACATATAGAAATAAGTTAAGGTACTGTGTGTGGAAGCCTGTTTTGTGAACTGGTAAGATTTTTGGCTTTTTTAAAACAGTATTCTCCTGTGTGTGTGTGTGTGTGTGTGTGTGTGTGTGTGTGTGTGTGTGATAGGGTGGGGTTCAACTGTTCTTAGATTTTTTTTGTCTTCTACACATTTGATGTTATATTGTTTTTTTTTTTTAATTTTATTGAGTTTATTGGTACATTTTAGGGATACAGTACAGTTACATTCATTGTTGGGATCATGTACCTTTACATGGCAAGTCTTGATTCTCATTTTTTCCCCTTACCTCTGCCCTCCCTTCACCCCCTCCTCCCCTCCCCATCTATATTGTTTTAAATAACGTTGATAGGAAGTGATAATCTTTAGAGTTCTGGTTTAGCAAAATAAAACTTTGGCAGCAGTACGTTTGTCAAATCGTTGTTGTTTCTTTGTTTTTGTGGGGCTGGGACTCTAACCCACGTCTTGTATAGTAGACACATGCATTACTATTGAACTATATATGCGTCCAAACTTTGTTATTTTAGAGTTACTGCTCCTTGAATTTATCCAAGAGCCTGGGAAACACTAAGTTAAAAAAAATACCTGAAAGAGACTTGGAAGTCAGATAGGCTTAGTGTCAAGCACTGGCTCCACCATTTATTACGTAAATCTGATCATGATGTGTATTCTTTTTGAGGATTAATTTACTTATGTATTTTTTGGGATTATTTCAGGAGCAAATGAAACAGACTGTGGAACACAGTGAATCATAAATTCTGGTTTTGTTAGTCTCATAGGACCATAAACATGGTTTTTCTTAAAGTATTAACTCAATGATATCTTCCCCTAAACATTCAAATTTTTATTTAGAGCTTCAAACCCTAACACAGAAAACTAAAATTTTGCATTGACAGTTAAGTGAAAGAAGGATTGCTGTCTGGTAGACATGTAGCATCCTGTTAAAGGTCATGTTATGTTTTTGGCTCTGAACTCAAGATCTTGCAGAATGGCCTTTTGGTCTTGGTCCAGATATTTTCCCTCCTTAATGTTAAAAACAAAATAGGCAGTTGGTCTCATGTTCTTTATGACCAGAAAATACAGTTCTAGCAGCAAGACCTACTAATATGTTCAAAGTCAGGTGTTTTCTAAGTGGTCAAGATCGGTCTCTTATAGAAAATCCCAGATATTTATATGTATTCAGCACAATATGTGAAAACAATGTAAAGAGAGAAATACAGAATTTCAAATTATTACCCTGTAGTGAATCATATATAAAAGGACATATGCCCCGAATGGTATAATTGAATATTTTAAAGATAGGACAGGAATAAACCTCTTAGCCAGTCTACTAGTTATACTAGGATGGACTACTTTATGAATGGATAAAATATATTGTTATAAGAGCCCAGAGACCTTTTCTTAAGAGGCAGCATAGACAAACTTTTATGTGCAGGGTGTGTTGTGTGGCTGTAGATTTGAGCTACATAGTCCACTCACATTTGCAGTGTGCCAGCCATTGTACCACCCACTAGAACGTCCATCTGTAGGGGAATATGGCTTACTACCTGGTAACTCACTGTAACATTTGATGTTGTTTTATTTTCCCAGACACAGCAACACGTCTTTCTTACCAGAATGACCCTCCATTTGGATCATACATAGTTCCCATCCGAGTTACAGATAGACTCGGCCTGTCTACAATCAACTCATTGACTGTTAGGCTGTGTGATTGTGTTACCGAGGCAGAGTGTGATATTCGCTCAATTGAGAGAGTTGGCGGCAGCGAAGTAAGACTTGGAACGTGGGCCATCCTCGCAATACTGTTGGGCATAGCGTTGTTATTTTGTAAGTTTTTTTTTTTTCTCAAATTCAAATATAGTACTAGCCTTTAAAGTAACTTTCAATATACACTCTTAGAATCAACACTATTTCCTGCTGCTGATCATTTGTATGTAGCTTTTTTTCTGTTTAAAACACAAATATATTTAAAATATTTTGAGTGAACTTCTGCATAGTCTTTATTGGCATAGACATAAAATTCAGTGTAGAACAATAGCATGTGCTGTGTATTTATAGCACATCTGTTCAGGCCAGATTTTTCTACTGAATACCACTTTGACACAAAAAATCATACTTTGTGTTCTAGAAAGCTGTTTTCTTTTAACACAGTCTTTTATTTATGATTTATCTGTGTATTAATCATTGTGAATTCATAACTTAACATCATTTGATGACAGATTTAAGTAAAGTCTGGACTCTTTCTCCCTGCAGGTGTCCTATTTACATTGGTGTGTGTGACTTCTAGGGCAACCAGAGATGTAAAAGCACTTCCTGATGATTTAGCCCAGCAGAACCTGATTGTATCCAACACTGAAGCTCCTGGAGATGACAAAATGGTAAAATGCCTGTGTTTTTCAAATGAATACAAGCTAGGTGTGGCAGCATGGGCCTGTACTTTCAGCACCCTGGGAGGTTAAGGCAGGAGGATGGAAAGTTTAAGCCCAGCTTAGGCAATTCAGAGAGCTCCTGTCTCAAAATAAGAACTAAAAGTGAACTGGGAATTAAACGCAGTATAAAGGCCTTAGGCTCATTTCCAGTGCCTTACACACACACACACACACACACACACGCACACACACAGAGTGCAGCAAGTGAGTTGCCAATTGTACTCCTTCCAAAATTATCTTTTCTGAGCAAGGTTTTTAAAATAAATATTAGATCACTAGGGCCGGGGATTTAGCTCTGTGGTGTCACCGCCTGCCTCGTAAGTGCAAGGATCCGAGTTCAATCCCTGGTACCAAAAAAAAAAAAAAAAAAAAAAGATTAAAATATCACCAATCCCATAGCATTGGGAAAATAATTTTGATTCCCTTGGAGATACATGATATTTCACTTTGCTCATCTAGTGTTCCTTCACAATCAAAATCTTTTAGTCTGTCATTATTACTGTCTACTTCAAATGTTTTTAACATTTAGCCTGGTTTTGTTTTTTATTTTTACATCTACTTAAAACTGTGGCTAGTGCTATAAAAATGTTGCATTTAATTGGTCACAGATCACCAGCGTAATTGTTTTACATTTTTTTCTGGCAGCAGCAATAAAGTCTCTGTAAGCTTTGATCATCATGGGAAGAAGTTTAAGGGATTCTCTCTGGCTGTATTGTGGGTTAGAAAAGAGCCTGAAGTGGAATATCTCAAGCAGCAATTCTAGGAAGTGACTGACTGTTGCTATGACGTTTTCTAGCCCACTACGTGGAAGCAAATTTCCTATGAAAAGCATAACTGATGATCAGAGCAGGAAAGATGAGGAGACAAAAGCACGATGGATCTAGGAAAGGATTGGAAAAAAAAACAAACAAACTTTAAATTATAGTAGAATGTCCCAAAGCAGAATCCTAGTGGCCAAAACTTTTGATGCTTTTGATATTTCCCCTGCCTGATTCATGATTTGTATGCACGTAGATTGCAGGAATTTGTGATGACAGCTAAGATTTTTATAGCAACATTATTCTTTTTATTTTAGTTGATGGAAACTGAATTGAACACTGAATAAAAAGTGTGGTCAGTATTTCAGTTTCTGCTGTTGTCAGGTAAAGAGGAATGCATTTAAATTATCAAAGCCAATACGCGTGAGACAGAAGTACTGATTTTGAGTAGTGAGGTCCAGGAAGGATATAAAAACTGAAGTTGTACAACACCTAAACTTTTCAATTTGTCTCCAGGTGACAACCCCTAACATCTGAAATTTCTTATTTTAGAAACTATATTTAGTATTGGGATTGTAACAGTCAAATACTCAAAATTGTCTGCCTTCAGAGAGGTTAGAACAGAAAACAAATCAAGGTGTGATTTGCACAACGTTCTTCTGTTTCTTTTTGATGTTGTTGTTGCTGTTGTTTCCTTCTATATGTGTCAGTGGAAATGGTTTTCATTTCAGTATTCCACAAATGCCTTCACGACCCATCTTGTGGGTGCTCCTGGTCAGGGCGTCTGTGGCACCTTGGGATCCGGAGTCAGAAATGGAGGGCAGGAAACCATAGAAATGGTGAAAGGAGCACAGCAGACCCTGGACTCCTGCCGGGGGGCCGGGCACCACCACACCCTGGATCCTTGCAGGGGAGGAGGACACGCGGAGATGGACAGCTGTCGCTACACCTACTCCGAGTGGCACAATTTCACCCAGCCCCGACTCGGTGAAGTGAGTTTCCCTGAGTATTGTACAAATCTATTGTGATGTCTTTTAAACTTTACATAAATAATTACAGTTATTTTATTTGGAATTTTGTTTTCAATTATGAACCTATTCATTGGAAAATGATTATTTTTTCTTAATTTAGATTGAGTTATGTTCAGATTTAAGTGGTTATTCATTTTCCCTGATATCTTCTTTGTTTTATAATACTCTTCCGGAAATAGTAATGTTTAAATTACTCTTTCGTGACTCCGTGCCAGTATTTGTCATGTGCCAACTCTGACCTTAGAGACCAGAAGTGTGAGACACATGACAAAAGCGGGCAGTGTCGCTATGCCAGTCCAGGAAGGTCTGAGCCAATTTGGGTTCAGTTTTGATAGACGTATTTTCAGTTTTAGCCACCCTTTGGAAAGGGAAAAGGAATAATTACTTAAATGAACACTTGTATACTTTTGCTGTCACATGGGTGACTTTTAGAGACATGCTGTATACTGAATATATAGTGTGATTTTATGATACAGACCAATCATGTGCATTTTTTGTATATAGGAACCCATTAGAGGACACACTCTGATTAAAAATTAAACAATGAAAGGTAAATCAAAGCAATTATTTTTATGGCAGTAAGTTTTGGTGTTTAAAATAATAATAATAAACTGTTGTGTTTTCCCCTTGGCAGAAGGTCCGTCTGTGCGACCAGGATGACAACCATAAGCACGCGGAAGACTACGTCCTTTCATATAACTATGAGGGCAGAGGATCGGTGGCTGGTTCCGTAGGGTGTTGTAGTGATTGGCTGGAAGAAGATGGGCTTGAGTTTTTGGATCATTTGGAACCTAAATTCAGGACACTAGCAGAGGCATGCATGAAGCGATGAACATGTTCTAATAAGTCAACAAAGGCCAGTGGTTGTATCACCTTTTTTTTTCCCTTTTAATTACAAAAGAAGATTTAAAAAAAGAAGAGGATATTATATTTGGAGCCTTTCCCCTTTATTTTTTGGAACCTCTTTGGCCGAAGACACATTTACAAGGGAACTGAATTCTTACATTTTTACATACATTTTAATTGCTTGTTTACCCAAGTAGATCCACAGATGAAAAAATTTAAGGAAATTTGTGTTATTGTTTACATTTGGACATAGTGACAGCAGCCAACTTAAAGTGCAGTGAAATTTAAGTAATTCAAGTTTGTATTTATAGACTACTTGAAGTACAACCTAATAAAAGATTGTAGAGAATATTATCTCCAGTTAACTAGTCTGTTGTTCATATGGTGCTTGGAAACTGTGGCTTTCCTAAACATTCTAAAGTGTATATATTGCATGCTTGCTATTTTATTCCTGTAATATGGCTTTTCTTCATGAAGCAAAGGCAGATTTCTAACCAGGTATTGACTGTTATTACGATTTCATTTTGGTGGAATTTACTTTTAGGTTCTATTCTATGTAGAAAGCAGCACTGAATGTACATTTTCTCTGTTACCTACTTTGTTAGTAAAATTTAGATTTAAAAAATGCTTTCAGAGTGCATTCTTACTTTTGCAAGTCTTTTGTCTTTCTAATTACAAATGGTCTGTCTCATTCTCTTGCTGTCTGCCTCTCAGGTACACACACACACACACACACACACACACACACACACACAATTTCCTTCTCTCCTATGTGTCTTTAAAATCTCTATTTGGGTTGGTGAATCCAAATACTTTCAAAAATTGTCATTTCTTCTCTTAAAAAGTGAATTATTCCTATGTACTCTTGGTATTTCTATATCAATGTAATGTTAACTTTATTGTTTTAAATATCTTGGTGGTTGCTTCATTACCTACTCAATTTTTAACTTTCACATTAAAACTATGGAACCACTTCATGATTTTATTAGCGGCAACATTCTATGTTTACAAAAGATCGAATTAAGATGTGATATTTAGTGTATAACAACATGGTTCTAATTCATACCTTTAGTGCAGTTTGCAAATGCAAAATAGTGATGGGTTTTGAAATAAGCTTTGAAATGCAAGGATCTTGAATGCTATCTAGGATTACATTTTTATAACTTTTAAGATGAAATTACTAGTGATGTCTATGTAAAGTTATTGTTTAATGTTTTATGACTACAATTGTTAGCAACGATATGGGCTGAACTATTTACATCTTAAAACAAGAAGACAAAATAAAACTTGTTACCCAACCAAATCCAGGCCAGATTTCAAACATATTTCTGTCAACGAATTCTCTGTCTGCTAACTGTATGGAAAGTCTAAATGCATTTTTAATAGCTATGATTGTTAATGATGTACCTTCATGAATTTACAAGGTTGGTTTATAACAGTTGCTGTTCAGAAGTACCATATTTGATAAGCAGCTATCTTTTCAAAAGTTTCATTCCTTCTCAGTCAAAAATAAAGTCTCCCACAGTTATTTTTAATAAACCGTGTACAAAATTCTTGTGCATTACTAGTTATATTATAGTAAAGTAAGCAGCTTTTAGAAATTAGTGTGCACTTTTAAATCTTGGGGCTGATCTGAGTTTGAGAGATTGTGGTTTTCTGACACAGGGAAACGATTATACGTTTTTTAACATCTAAAGTCTGATTGAGGAAGATCTTTGGTGTACTGTTACCACATTTGCATAAATTAGTATTCCAAAGATTGAGGTTGTGGATATTGACTAATTTGCATGATTTCCTCTGTCTATATCATCTTAAAATAGGGGAACACTAGTAGAACTCCTTTTCTAGGGTAGCTATAAGACATTTTAATAAAAAAATGGTTTTTGAACCTGAAAACTGTGCAGAGTAGTCCACCTAAAGGACACTTCTAATCATAATAAATAATTTTAAGTCACTTATATAACCCTTTTCAAGTTAATAAAAAATCAACTAAGAAAATATAACAGATTTTTTTTAAAGCGTTATATTGGTCAATCTAAATATGTCTCTTCCTAACAATCATTTTATGACTGGCTCTTCTATATCTAGTTGTTCAGGTTGTATACTGCAAAGATGGCGGAAACCTCCAAAGAGGATTCTTGCTTTGTAATGCTCTGAACTGCTAAGTTAAAAAATGGGATGGAAAGCAGGGGATCTTCTTCTTAAAATGGGATCTAATTCTGAAACCCTATGAAAATTACAGAGGTTTAAGATTCCTCCCTGTGGGTTCCTCAGCTGCTCTCTCAGCTATTTTGCTAGACATTAGAAGTCTTTTAATAGAGTTGGTGGCTCTTTGGTAGATGCCATGGCAACCCTAAGTGTAAAACTTCAGAGTAAGAGTCCCTGAGGTAGGCCCCAGCTCCACCCATGCCAGCTATGGGTTTTGAGAAGCCATTTAAAACTTTCTATACCTAGTTTTCCCACTCTCTCATATTGAGGGAAGTAGAGAAGAATACATGAAAAAAATGTGTCAAAATTAAAACTGGTGTCATGAAGAGACTGCACAGAGATACATTTAGTTTATCTTAGCTACTACTAGTGCTAGATGAGAGGAGAATTTGGTTGGGAAGAGTCACAGCTTTAATTTCTACTTTGCTTTGCAGCTGATATTTTTGTCATGGGGGTGCTGTTTAGCTTTCCCAGAAGCCTGTATTGTACCTGACATGGCTGTTGGCAACTTCATGGCTGATAGTAGTTTCTGGGCCTCTCATTTTTGGTCTTCAGAGAGTTGCATCTTATTTATCTATAGCTCAGGAATCAGCTTGATGAATCTTAAAACTTAACTGAAAAGGTAGGCAAGATATCTAATCAGATATAGTCTGCCTCAGGAAGCAAAATCTTAAGGATTTCCTCCAGTGAAGTGGAAGGTGCTTTTTCTCCTAAAGACAACAGAAATCTGTTGTTAGTTCATTATGGTTTTATTTGGGTCTCCTAATACTAGTTTTCTGGATTTTATCCTTTAGACTTTTTAAAAAATCTTGGCTCTCTATTTTCTTATGCAAAATCTGACTTTGACTATAGTCTTCCCCTTGAGTCTCCTTCTCCCATCACTTTTCCTAGGCTCCAGATTGAAGTTCCGATACCTCATTTTGCTCCAGTCACCCCCTTTAGAAATATCCCGAGAATAAAAGGGTTTTTCTTCTGTGCGCTTGGAATCTCTTTCAATAAGTGAAACTCAAAGAGTTTACATGATGTCTATGAAAATTTATAGTTCTTGTTCATTTCTAGAACCCTGTTGACCCTTAGCATGTTAAGGCCAGCCTATGAAAAGCTAAGCATGATATGCAGCCATTGAATCAGGTCCTCTTGGTTACCTATTTCAGTGATGTCCTCCTAATTAACTAGAAAACTGGGAATCCTTGATTCCTCTCTTCTTCACATAGCCCATCCTATTTGTTGCCCATGCTGCCCAATTCAGAGAATTTTATAGCTTCATTCACGAGATAGCATTTATGCAATAGTCCTTTAATGCCTTCCCAGTACAGTCATACATGGTCTTAATGTACGCCATAAAGGCTGCTTGCTTTAGAAAGTACAAGATGAATCAACTCCTCTCCCTGCCCACATACTGTAATGCAGGTCAAGACATGGTAGATAAGAGTGAAGCGTGGGCTCATGCCTGTAAAACACACAGTGTGGTGTCTGGCACCTAGGAAGTACTCAACACATGTAAAGAAAAATTCCAGATGAGGCAAAAAAACTACTACTGTGTGACTGTGCTCTTGCTCACCCAAAGCCAAGTGCTCCTGAGGGTTGACTGCCGCCTGCTTGTCCTACTCCTAGCTACTCTCTTCACTAATTGCTTGTCCCACCACATCCCACTCAAACCCTCAGCTTCCCGCAGCTCCACTGGAATTTGTCTCCAATTGCTTTCCTCTTTCACCTTCCCACTACCAGCGAAGATCAGACATGATCACAACATTCTCCTGCTCTATGGCTTTTGTGGCTTTGGAGGATAAATCTGAAACAAAATCACATTCAAACTGTGATGTCCCTGCCTTTCACACACACACTCCATCTGCGATGCAGTTGTTTGCACACACACTTGTGCAATTACTCATATTAGGAGGTGTCAAGCTGATCTGGGCTCCAGTACTTAGTGCCTTCACATATACACTCCCTAACTTGCTCGTGTAGGGCCCTCTCTGTCCTTGGGTCACTCTTCCATTTCTTCATTTGTACAAATGTGATTTTTGAAGATAAGTTCAAATGCCATCTCTTCTAATTGGAAGACATTTGCATATTGTCTTAGTTACTTTTCTTGCTCCTGAGACAAAATACCCAACACCCACAAATTAAGGGAGGAAAGGTTCATTTGGCTCACACAGTTTGTAGAGGTTTCAGTTCACAGTTGGCTGGCTCCAAGAGGAGTGGCAGGCAAAGACAGCAAAAGCAACAAGGGCACTTTACCAGTGTCTTTCTGCCCCTTTTATCCAGAGTATGGGAATTAGAGTGACACCAAGCCAATCAGTGGACTGGTTTAGAAACCACAGTCCTTAATCTCAGCATCACACAATCTAGCCACCTCTGAAAAAGTCATCTATGACCGCATGAGGCTTTGGGGGATCATCTAGATACAAGCCATAATGTGTCTCTGGAGCAAATTAATGTTTTTTTGTTTTCACTTACAGGTTTCCGTGTATGTACACATGGGAGTGCATTTCTTTTCTTATGTATGAGGATTGAAAATCGTTCACATTTGCATGTCCTTAAAACTTTGGCTGCCAATACACTTGGTTGTAATCAAATTTTATTGCCCAAGTTATAAAGAAGGAATATTAAAGGTTGCAAATTAGATTTTTTGATTCTGACATTGCTTTCTTTTGGCACATAATTTCTATGATGTATATAACATTCTGCACTTTTTTTTTAAAATGTAGAGACATTGAATAACTAGACCATCACACATTTTCACTTACAACTCAGCACAAGAAAAGGGGAGCCCTGATGCTTTGGCGTCCAATCCTTCTTCTCCCTGGGGTGGGGTGGGTGGAAGACAGCAGAGGCACTCTCTGAGTGTTGTGGTTTAAGGTCAGCTCAGCTCCTCCTACAAATAATTGCACAAGACTGTTTGGAGCCAGCTGCACCGTGGTGAGATGTAATCCCCCAGACTGCCTGACTGCCTTCTTCACTGTAGGCCAGCACAAATCATGGATGCTCAAGAATGTTTGCTGGATGAATGAATGCATCAATTTTCCTGTGTCTTAAGTAACTGACCAAGACTGGCCCGCAGTGTTGCCTAAAGATTCTTTTTTTTAATCCAATGTGAAACGCAATGACCAATACAAAAATCACCAATGTGATTGTGACGTCACTATCACCATGATCCAACACCAGTGGGGAAAAAAAAATCTAATTAGTGAACTCCCAAAGAAAAGCAACTAAGAACTATTATGTTTTAGGAATTCAATGAATGATTTGTATTCGTTTACCAAAGGCACATTATTGATAAAGTGTTTTAAATTGGGACTCACTTTAAGAGGCATCAAGAAACTAGAAGGTCAGGCAAGGAGCAGGGATCTATGAGCTTTTTCCAAGTCTGCAATAAGACAGCCAGCACAGGACAGGTGAAGACCAGAGAAAAGGAAAAGAGCTGGGTGGTAGTGAGCCTCTGAGCTGACACTGCTGTTGGGAAGATGCTCCTAAGCTGTGGGGCCTGGGGCAGCTGATCGCCAACTCGTGCGTGCGTGCGTGCGTGCGTGCGTGTGTGTGTGTGTGTGTAGGGGTCAGACATACTCAGCTAATGGTGGAGAGGCTTAGTGAGCAGACAACAGCTATGTGTCTGGCTCTTGCTCTTAAGCGGGGCATCAAATGAAAAGTATTCCTTCATTATTTCCTCTCCACCGGTTCTGAATTTCTAGGTTTGAGGACTGAAATTCTAAAAATGGGATCTGATTTTCCTTCCCAAGGAAGATCTCTCTGCCTGTCTCTGTTTACCTTACTCTAGCTAAGAAGCAATTTAAATCACATTTTGTGTGTGTGTGTGTGTGTGTGTGTGTGTGTGTGTTGGGGATTGAACCCTGGAGCACTGAGGTCCACCCTGTCCCTTTTTATTCTTTATTCTGAAACAGTCTCACTAAGTTGCCCAGACTGGCCTTGAAGTCAGGGTTGTCCTGCCTCAGTTTCCTGAGAATCTGGGATTACAAGCATGTACCATTGTGGCTGGCTTAAATCGTTTTGGCTTAAATTTTACTTTAACTTAAAATAAATAAATAAAAATAAATAAATCACTCAACTGCCTTTTAAATTAAGACATGTAACATGGGGTCTTAATGTAAAACAAAACAACATTAGGATAAAAAAACCAGAGATAAAAAGGACACTAGTGATACTAGGAATCGAACCCACGGCCTTTGTACTGTGCTACATCTCCAGCCCATTTTATATTTTATTATGAGACAGGGTCTTGCTAAACCACTATGTTGCCCAACAGGGCAAGAATTTGAGATTCTTCTGCCTCAGCCTTCCAGAGTAATCACA